TAATGTGTAACCTGAAAGGAATAACCGGAGTAATTCGTAAATAAATTGTGCATTAAGCAAGCAGCAAACTCAGATGCCAGGGAGCAGGCAAAATGCTTTGCTGGTTCCACATTCAGCAACCGTCTGCCGGAAAGTGTAATTGAGTTAGATAACGTACAAGAACAGGTAACGTGAACTACGTCACTTCCCGAAGAAGCAAAATGCGGATTTTTTCACTGATAAGGTATATTAGTGTAATGTCCTGACGGTAACGAGCAATATCAACTAAGTTAAAGTGATTATTAAGCCGATCAAAACTTTTGACAGAGTAAATAAAACAGAGGATGATCATACCGTTAATATATTTTGTGAGAGAGTTCAGTGAGAGGTCGGCGCCGAGTTCCAGGGGTCGCTTAACAACAAGAATTATGGTTAAGGGAGAGGTTTAATTGGATTAAGAGTTGAAATTATGAGCGATTTACAAGACTTACTTGATAATATGGTGTGATAAATGTGTTGTCAACTACCACAATAATGTTTTTGTCGTAATTATGCGCCAGTCTCGAAATTTCAGCAATGTCGACAAGACGCATGAGAGGGTTTGAAGGGGTCTCTAGGAACACCATCTTTGTTTTCGGTGTGAGAGCCGCCTCAAACAGCTTTGGATAACGCATATCGACAAAATCGAAAATCACACCATGCTTTGATGCTATTTTGCGGAAGAAACGACCAGTACCTAAAGTAGAATAATGTAGATGCAACTACTTGAGTTATCTCACCTCCATATAGGTCATCGAAAGCCACTACGTGATCACCGGATGATAGCAGTTGTGTAACTGCACCTAAAGCAGCCAAGCCAGAAGCAAATGTAAGGGCTGTATAACCGCCTTCTATTGCCGCAAGACAATTTTCAAGAACATGTCGTGAATAATTCCCCGACCTGGAGTAGTCGTACTGAAAAAGTAATATAAATAAAAGTCGGTTTACTTTTCCAGTGGCCGGCGCCAGTTGCTCGAAGGTAGTGGATGGAGTAATTGGGGGAATAACGGGATTGCCTAAGTCTGGAAGGTCCGTAGGCGTGTGGCCGGTGTGCGTAACTATTGTCTCAAATCCCGGAGATGGCTTGAAGTATTTCCTGAACAGTTCTTCTCCAGCAACCAGCGAGCTTTGGAAAAGGCTTTCAAAATTACTCATTTTGGCGACGTGCGAGTTTCTGATCTAAAACGATTCCGTTAGGACGATGGTTAAACAAGATTCAAGTATCAGAATCATCAATTGTACCTTAAGGGGCATCACATGGACAAGAACAAAGAATAACAGCTCTCGTATAAATGTTGTTATAATTCGTGCGTAAATACATGTATCATGTAAAGTACTTAAAATTAGTTTTTGTGGTCTCCCGCCATATTTAAAAAGCTGTTCTCCATCTACGTTCGGCCT